CCAAGCCACGGCAAAGCCAAAGCTCACATGCACGCACGCACTAAGAACTTGTTAACTGGGCGGAAGCTCGTCAATCGAGACACATTTTCGTTACCTGAAATGCTCCTAGAGAGGCCTGCTCGTCACCCGAGGCTCCGCTGTAGGCCCATAGTATTTAGCCTGGCACGCAACCTTTTACTTTCTCAGGCACGGTTCAAATCTCGTGACTCGGAGACCGTGGGTGGCGGGGTGGTAGAGATCCACTTGAAACCTAAAAGGCGTTGAGATACACCCGGCACTGCTGAAGCTGTGCGAAACTCGGGACTACAAATTATGCAACAGTTGTGTCTGGACTGTGATGCGGGGACGCAGAAGCCCAGCGAGCCGCCGAAACAAAACGGCGTTGTTTTGTCAGATAAAACTCTGGCGGTTGAACATGTTTATGACACATGACATCTACCGGGTTCGATGTTATTTGCAGTTAACTTGACCCAGTTACACCTTTGAAACAGATGGCGAGGCAAACTATCCACAAACTCTCTCTGTCTCTCGGTTGCAATAAGCCTGACGCGTACTTAAACTAGCAAGACCACAACTGTAAATCATGACTCGCATAGTCGCCAAGTAGTTGGGATAAAGCTGCACTGAAGATTAACAGCCGGATTGCAACGATTCCCTAGCGTAGATTTATAACAATCCTCGTTGATGTGGTACCCGAGTCAGCGAAGTCGATGTTGGGGATACTAGCATCTGTGACAGACAGCAGACTTTAAAACTGCTTTGTTGACTGCTAAAACCCTGTCCGTCTCCCGTGGTCCTGACTGTCTGGCCAGTTGAATACAAACGGTGCAATGAGAGAATTGTTTTCGGTATTGGATAATTCTTCAGCCCCGTAATCTACATCGTTCACAGGTCACTGCCGCTCGCCTCAGATCATTGCGCACACGAGCCACTGCAATTAGTTTGCCTCAGTGGAGGATAAATATCCAAGCAGACTGTTGAAGAAGGCAATAGTCCGCATTCATTTTACCTATCAAAACACTAAGTGTATGCACGACAGCCAATAAATGACCAGTAGTTAGAAAAGCTCATTAAGTGGTAAAGAGAGAGAGAGAGAGAGAATGAGAGAAATATATAAAAGCAAAGGCCAAAACACAGATAATGAAGGGATTACTTGTTGTCGATTATGAGATGGTAGGCCACACATAACTGGTCACTGGGATCGTTTGCAATCAGCGCGGCGAATACCTCACGTTCGCTCACATTGCAGGCCTGACAGACCTCGTAGACCGCTTGCTATAAAAATATAGA